TGTTTTAAAATTGTCTCGATGCTATCTTTTGAAGAACAAAAGTCTTTAAATTTTATAAAGTCCAATTTATCAAATTTATCTTTTATTTATGATTTTTGTGTCATATTGCAAATATTTTTTCCCATTTTATTTTAGAATTTTAATAGTTTTAGCTCTTAAATTTAAGTCTATGATTCATTTTGTGTTCATTTTTGTGAATGATATGAGAAAAGGGTCAATGTTCATTTTTTAAAAATACGGCCAGGCGTGGCGGCCCATGCCTATAATCCCAACACTTTGGGAGGTTGAGGCGGGCAGGTCACCTGAGGTCAAAAGTTTGGGACCAGCCTGACCAATATGGTGAAACCCTGTCTCTACTAAAACTATAAAAATTAGCCAGGCATGGTGGCATGTGCCTGAAATACCAACTACTCAAGAGGCTGAAGCAGGAGAATCGCTTGAACTCAGGAGGTGGAGGTTGCAATGAGCCGAGATCACGCCATTGAACTCTAGCCTTGGCAACAAGAGGAAAGCTCTGTCTCATTCATACGTAAATTAATTAATTAATGCATAAGCATATAACCGAGTGCCAAAAAAAGGCAAAAACAGCTTGCTAAAAGGAGAAATAATGATTAACAATTATTGTTGGGGATTTAAATATTCCTTTTATAGTATAATACTGAAAGAAAACTAGTAAGAGGCTATCACTTGAAGACCATTATCAGCCAACTTGAACTAACTGACATTTGCAGAGTGCTGCACCCAAGACACAATTACAAAAAAAAGGGTCTATACACTACAGTATCAAAATGAATCAAATACTTAGGAATGCGTGTAATAAAATACAAGACCTGTACCTTGAAAACTACAAAATATTACTAAAATTTAAGAAGACCTAAATAAATCATAATATATATAAACATTAATTGACTAGGAAAGTCAATATTGTTAAAATGGCAAATTGTTAAAATGACACAATCTTGGCTCACTGCAACCTCCGCCTCCTGGGTTCAAGCGATTTTCATGCCTCGGACCCTCGAGTAGCAAGGATTACAGATATGCACCACCATGCCTGGTTAATTTTGTATTTTTAGTAGAGATGGGGTTTCTCCAGGTTGATCAGGCTGGTCTCGAACTCCCAACCTCAGGTGATCTGCCCACCTCGGCGTCCCAAAGTGCTGGGATTGCAAGTGTAAGCCATCTCGCCTGGCCTATTATAACTTCCTCATGTATTGATCCTTTTATTATTATGACAAAGACCTCATTTCTGAGTGAAAGTCAGCAGAAAAACAAATGCACAATAATACTAACAAAGACTTGGATATTGGAACTGTCACATAAACAACATAAAATAAGGTGAATACTGTAAAATAAGCCAGGCATAGTGGCTCACACTTGTAATCTCAATGCTTTGGGAGGCCAAGGTAAGAGGATTACTTGAGGCTAGGAGCTCAAGACTGGCCTGGGTCATATAATGAGGCCCCAGTTTGTACAAAAATAAAAAAATTATAAAAATTAGCTGGGCATGGTGGTGCATGCTTATTGTCCTAGCTACTCAGGAGGCTTAGGCAAGAGGATCACTTAAGCCCAGGTATATGAGGCTGCGGTAAGCTATGACTGCACCACTGTACCACAGCCACAGTAACAGAGTGAGATTTCCTCTTAATTAAAAAAATTTTTTAAATTAAAAAATAAATAAGAACATGTAATATATTTAATGAAATAAAAGACAAGACTAAAATTTTTAAAAAGAACATAAGACTATAAGAATCAACCAGGAAGACAGAAAAAAAAATCAACATAGAAATATTAAAAATGAAAAACATAATAATTGAAATAAGATGCAAAATTAACAAACTAACAATTTATACCAAGCACAGCTAAAGACAGCACTAATGACCTAGAATAAGGGCTAGAAATCTATGGCCCGCAGGCCATCACCCTTCATTTTTAAATACAGTCTCACTGGAACACAGCCACACTCGTCCCTTTCATGTAACTTACAGCTACTTTTGCACTACAACAGCAGAGTAGTCATGATGAAAACCATGTGAACTGTAAGTCTAAAGTGTTTATCATCGAGTCCTTTACGAAAACATTTACCATCCGAGTACGCTGGCTCAAGTCTGTAATCCCAGCACTTTGGGAGGCCAAAGCTGGCGGACCAGACTGCTTGAGCTCAGGAGTTTGAAACTAGCCTGGACAACATGGTGTACAAAAAATACAGAAATTAGCCAGGCATGGTGGCCTGTAATCCCAGCTACCAGGGCCACTGAGGCAGGAGGAGCACTGTAGCCCAGGAATTCAAGGCTGCAATGAGTTATTACTGTGCCACTGCACTTCAGCCTGGGCGACAAAAGGAAATCTTTCTCTCTCCAAAAAAAAAAAAAAGAAAGAAAAGAAAAAATAGTTTACCAAACTCTCTGATAGAAAACAATCTGATGAAATCACATTGCAGGTAGCACCACAAGCAAAAGAAGGCAGGGAGTGCACTGGCAGAGAAGACGGAAAGATGGGAGTCATCTGAGTTACACACAAGCATCCCTTTGCTAAAACTGCACAGGTAAGGCTGGGCGTGTTGCCTCATGCCTGTAATCTCAGAACTTTGGGAGGCCCACATGGGTGGATCACCTGAAGTCAGGAGTCCAAGACCAGCCTGGCCAACATGGTGAAACCCCATCTCTACTAAAAACACAAAAAAATTTAAGCAGACTTGGTGGTGCGTGCCTGTACTCCCAGCTACTTGGGAGACTAACGCAGGAGAATCACTTGAACCTGGGAGATGGAAGCTGCAGTGAGCCAAGATCACACCACTACACTCCAGCCTGGGCAACAGAGACTCCATCTCAAAAAACAAAAACTATACAGGTAAGAAGTGGATAAGTGTGATTGAACATTTTACCTTAAAAAATTAACAAATGGCGGAAAATGTGGAGTGTGTAGAGGTAACGATGAAACAAAGAAGATAGATTTTTTACGGTTGTTGCAGCTGGATAATGAGTGCATGGGTGTTCGATATACTGCTGTTTATCTTGTACGAGTAATTTAAACTATATTCCCAGGATGACTCTAATTATGCAAAGTGTGTTACATGTATGTATATAAAAATACACACACACACTCACACACACACACACACATACTTCGAAGGGACTCTACCAAAATGTTAAAAGTAATTATTAAAGAATTATAGGATTATAGTTCATTTTCATTTTTCGTCTTTTTAAGCCCTTTCCAGATTCTTCCATATAGTAAGGCAGCACTCTCTGAAAATAACTTGCATACATTTCTTAAAAATCAAACCAGTCATATTTAGCTACACTCAGAACTTCTGAAATAATCAAGGTTCAAATAACATCTGAAGGCAAAGGAATAGGATACGAATACTACATTTGTCAAAAGAATAATAAAAAATATGGAATTCAGGTTTTAAAACCAAAGCAACATTCTCTCCTGCACACATATCCCTCCAGACAAATGTTGTCCAACAGAACTTGAGGGAAATATACCTGCCATGACGGAAAGGCTCATTGAATTGCCCAATTCAGTAGCTGCTCACCACGTGTGGCTATGGAGCAGGTAAAATGTCGCCACAGTTCAAGTGACTTTGAAAAGGGTTTTCCATTTACTTTAATCTTAATTGCCATACATGGCTAGTGCCTCCCATGCTAGACAGCACAACTGTCGGGGGGAAAAAACCAACCAAACAAGCAGATTCATGGTTCTACTGACCATTCTCCTCCTCCTTCCAGTCATTCAGTAATTTACCAATATTCTATAACCTCTCATCTCTCCCTGGTAGCTACCAAATCGTAACTTTTAAAAAGATACACTTTAAGCTTCCTATTCTTTCTAGATAAAGAGAACAAGTGAAGAGTACCAACTGCGCCGAGATTTTCGGAATAAAACCTCATTAGCCACTAAGATGCAGCCTAAATCTAATTTAGTTTCTCCTCTACGTAATTCTTCAGAGGTAATTTCAGTTTCTGATTTGAGCTTTTCAGAGCTAGTTGATCACCTTCCATCTTTTTTTCTTTTGTTTATTCTTTGTTCTTCCTCTTCTTAAAAAGTAAAATGGAAAAGAAATTGAAGTAACAATTTATCAACAGAATGATTCCTTTAAAAGGATTGTTCTAGCAAGTAAACACACATTCATAATAAATAATCCTCTCTCTAGAAGCACCAGTGGCATTGAGGTTTTGTTTCTACTTATCCTGATATAAAGCATGTTCCCCTTCTACCCGGGTCACTAGGCAGCTAAAAGGCACACCTGTGGCTCACAAATGACTAACTCAACCTGGTGTTAATTCCTTCTTCTGTTTTCACTAGTTTCTGATATATATATTCACGCACTTTTTTTTTTTTTGAGACAGAGTCTTGCTCTGTGCCCAGGCTGGAGTGCAGTTGCGCGATCTCAGCTCACTGCAACCTCCACCTCCCAGGTTCGAGCAGTTCTCTGCCTCAGCTCCCAAGTAGCTGGGATTACAGATGCCCACCACCACACCCAGCCAATTTTTGTATTTTTAGTAAAGACGGGGTTTCACCATCTTGGCCAGGCTGGTCTTGAACTCCTGACCTCATGATCCACCTGCCTCAGCCTCCCAAAGTGCTGGGATTACAGGTTTGAGCCACCGCGCCCGGCCTGATACATATTTTTAACTGCCCCTAGATTCATTCTTACATTTTAATATGCTTCTGCAAACATTCTTCAAGATAAATAAATAAAACAGAAATCATAAACACAAACTACTCGAACAGATTTCCCATCGGATTTCAGAATATCTTCTTATGTCCAAATTAAAGGTGCCAAGGTCCTTTTATCCCTTCTGAATTTAAAATCTTGTTTGAACAAAATATAAGCAATACCATATTTATACAGTGTGACTTTATTATACTTCTCCAAAGTCCCATAAGATCTCTAGAACTGAGATCAGCCACATCTTTTATTAGTTATTTCCTATGGAGGCTGGATTATCAATATTGTTCTGCTAATTTATGCTATTTTAAATGGTCTACCGTACCTTGAATGTTCTTTAAAATATTGTGCTCTTAACTGGAATGCCACAAACAATGATGATGCTATTGCCAGTAAATGGTTCTTCTCACTCTTGGTTAACATGTGTCCTGAGGGAAATAAATCGACCAATCGATCAATCAATCATATATGTTAACATCTGTGCTTCTATCCTACAGAATTACTAGTCATTCAAACAAGTATTTCATAGGGCATCTACTATGCAGCTAGGACTGTACTAGGCACTGGGGTGTGCGGATATTGGGGGAGCAAGACCATTCAAATAAGAAGAAAATCCTGTTCACAGGAAGTTTATATTGGGAAAGAAGTTTAATTTGGGAAAGAAGATATTAAACAGATGCACAGAAAAAAAAAATTACAAAAAAAAAAAAAAAACCCCAAAACTATCCACACAGAGATCTCCCGGAAAAGCGTAAGCTCCTCACATCTGCTTATCTCCGTCCCTCCCCAGCCCAGCTTCCCTGCTGAGAAAAGCGAGGATAGCGTGCATGAAGCCCCAGCCCCAGGAGAAAAGGAGAGTGGCTAGTCAAGGACACAGACGAGGCCATGCTTTCTAGTGCGAAGATCCAAAGAATATCACACCGGGATTCTTCCGCCTCTCTGCATGCAGTCAGGGCTTGAATCCCCATCAACCAACCAATTTCTCTCTACTCCTCTCACTTACACTCTCTTCCTCCCATTATACAGCTAGACCTGGGGCAGTGGGCTGGCCATGAAGGCCTGGGGTGAGTGACTGATTGAAGAATTTGTATAATTCTTCAAGAAGAAGGTTGTGAGTCAAGGCAGGATTCAAATACTCCAGGGTCTATAGCTTAACACGTCCCTTGACAGCTGTGTAACCTCACCACAAATCTAAAACTATTTATTTACCACAGTAGTACTACCTACAGACAGTAGAGTATTAAATAGGACAATATGAGCAACTCCAGTGCTGGCTCATCAGCCATAAAGTGCTACTTTTACAATCGATCCTCCATGGATTCAAACAACTGCAGGCTGAAAATATTTGAGAAAAAAGAAATGTGTGGTTGTGTCTGTACTGAACACATACAGGCTTCTTTTTCTTGTCATTATTCCCAAAGCAATACAATGTAAAAATGATTAATTTTGTATTTACATTGTATTAAGCATTGTAAGTAATCTAGAGATGACTTAAAGTACAGGGCGGATATGTGTAGGTTATATGCAAATACGATACCATTTTCTATCAGGGACTTGAGCTTCTGTGGATTTTTGTATCTGAAAGGGTCCTAGAACCAATCACCCACAGATACCAAGAAACAGATGCACAATTCAAAAAAAGAAAAATACTAGTTGCCTAAACTTATTTGGAAGAAATGAAGTAATTTAAACATTATGTCTAAAAATCAATCAAAATATAAATAAGACTAAAAATATTCAAAATTAAGATATACTTTCAATATCTACAGCACAATTTTCCATGGGGAGGTAATCTGTCCGCTCCCTGAAGGGCAGAGAGAGCACAAGTAATCTATCCCTCTTTGAGACAAACCTAGGTATTACATAAAACATAATACAAATATGGGATCTACCCACTGGTTCCAGGAATTCAATACTAGATCCTCACGATGGCCTAATAAACTACACTCTTATGGGCACTGGAAAGTTCCTCATTTTCCCCTGACACCTAAGCAGTAATGAAAACATCCCATATGATTATATAATAAATTACCCTATATGAGAAGTATTACAAAAATTTGGTCTCAGTCTTGTCAAAATATATAGTTGAGAAGAACAGTTCTCATAGCGTGACCTGCGAACAACTGGGAGTACCCAGGAGTTCTTCCAAGGTCAAATGATTTTCTTAATGCTACTAAAATGTATTTGCTTTTTTAATTCTCGTTTTCTCAAGAGTATAGTGCAGAGGTTCCCAGCTGCAAGGGACACATGTTGTGTGATGACATCATTGCTCTCGTGTCAACACATAATGGGTGTATTACCATTACTTTCAGATCAAATGAATAAATAAATATTTTCAAGTTCCTCAGTTTTAATTTATAATATGGCAAATATAATCACAAATACATAATCCCAAAAGCTCTCTGGAGTGTAAAAAGAACGAGTGCTTCTCAAACCTCACTGAACATCAGAATCACCTGGATTAAAGGTGCTGCATGTACTTCACTGGCAGACTGACTGGTAGAGGGAATGAGGGCAGGTAATAATCTGCATTTCTAACAAGCTCCAGGGTGATGCTGATGCTGCCAGTCAGCAGATGTCACTTTGAATACAACTGTTCTAGACCCATATTTATCAAACAGTGTAAAGAAACTAGTAGTTCATGAAGCCAGTTTAATGTGTCATGTCCAGCAAAACAAATTATCAGAGCACTTTAAACACAGGATTTTACATGAAAATGTTGTGTGTGTTTGTATGTGTGCATACTAAGTCAGGATGTAAAATGTATTTCTCATGGTGGTTCACAATAAAAGTCCTTTAAAGGTCACCTCTTTAGATACGTATGTACAGTATATGCACGTCGTCAGCAACAGAAGAGGCAGCACATTAGGGGAACTCACTCACTGCAAGATACTCAATCAGTATTTCATCTGGTGTAACCAACTATTAGTGCACAGACTCAGGCAGTATCGAGAGAAGTCTCCCAAATAAAATAGACCATCGCTCATCACATCTCCCAGGCAAACTGATAGAATGCACATCAACTGCAACCATTTTACTGATATTCCACTTGAAAAGGGGGTGTACTCAGTTCCAATAGGCTCTGTATAAGAAGTCTGATCATAACTGACCTATTCTTACAACAATTCTAGCATTTTGCTACTCCTGATCATGGGCCACAGAGGCCTTGACCTCTGCAAGTTCCCCTATGGCCTGATACTAAGTAAGGCATGTCTTCCCTGGCTCTGACCTTAGCTTCCTTTGAAAGGTCTCTACTGTTTGCCTTCTGGGGGTGGTGTACCAGCTCGGTGTTGAGTCAGACACACTGGCACTGCATTCTCGGCTCATAAGCTAAGGTGAATGTAACTCATTCCCTTTTCTGAGAAGGTTCTAATCTATAAAACCCTGCATGGCTGCCATGAGGGGAGCTGAGATAGCATGCTGACTGCTAACCTGCTGGAATGTAAGTCCCAGGAAGGCAGCTCCTTTTTCTGTTTACCGATGAATCCTATGCACCTAGAACTTGGGGGCACAGTATGTACTTAAAAACTCTCCAATTCTTCCTGCTCCTTTTTGCAAGTGTGAATATAAATGAGTGCTGCATCTGACACTTGGTTTCCCCGCTTCCCCAGTCCTGACAGAGAAGGCTGATAGCATGCTGCTGGGTGTGTGAGGAATACAGGCGGTGAGGAGGGAGGGGGACTGAGAGCTCCAGCCCCGCACATGGAACACACACGGCCTCAAGCACTCGTCAGAGGAGCAAGTCACTTCTACTTGTTTTAAGTCTAGGGGGAGTCCTAGGGCTTTCTCAAACCCAGCCTTGGAACATTCACAGCATTCAAGCTTAGAGCCTCTACCGTGATGTCAATGAGGCTGGGTATAGCGGGCTCTTCAGTGAAGAAATGGCTGGAAAAAGCTGCAGCTCTAGGTTTTAAAAGCCTTAGGCTTTTTGACAGTTTTACCTCTATTCCCAGAGCCTAAAGCACAACCTTTCACCCAATAGGCTCTGCAAGTATTTGTGACTGAAAGGAGAAAAACTTCCTAGTCACAAATAACTCTTACCTTCTTAAACTTTTGGGAGGATAATTTCAAGCTAAAGTCCCAAACCCTAAACAATGTTTATTATCTCCCCTCCTTGTCCATTAAGCCACTAATTACTGGAGTTCAAAATCATGTAGTAGCACCTACAAGTTTTGTGACATGCCACTATAACCCTCACGCTGCTAGCCACCCTCACTGGTATGACATAGTTTTCAAGAAGCCTGATCTGTGTAGTGGTTTTAGGTCTACCATTTATTTTTAACAGCTATGTGTTGGTTCCCGTTATAGTGCTTCTTGTTTTGTTTGTTTTGAAATGGAGTTTCACTCTTGTTGCTCAGGCTGGAGTGCAATGACGTGATCTTGGCTCACGGCAACCTCTGCCTCCCTCGTTCAAGTGATTCTCCTGCCTCAGCCTCCAGAGTAGCTGGGATTACAAGCATGGGCCACCACGCCCAGATAATTTTGTATTTTTAGTAGAGATAGGGTTTCCCCATGTTGGTCAGGCTGGTCTCGAACTCCTGACCTCAGGTGATCGGCCCACCTCAGCCCCCCAAAGTGCTGGGATTACAGACGTGAGCCACCATGCCCAGCTGTAGTGTTGTATTAAATAATGCGGACAGATGTCCTGATTCTGAGCCAGGCCAGTTCTCTCTTTGTGGGCCATGACTTTATTGACCATTAGCAGCTTCATCTTTAGGGTAATGTGGCTACAATATTTTGTTGGGGAATCTTTAGGTAATCTCACTAGGGGGTTAGATTTTTCAAGGATCTTCTACTTTCATGTCTGTAAATACCTGTTTGCCTGCCAGTACCCTGGGAACCAACTGAGGAACGAAGGCTGGGACAGGGGGTGTTACCACATTTAGTATGTCCATGTTGCCTCAATCCTTTGTCCAACTGTACCTGGTGTCCCCTGGTTTTTATCCTCTGCAGAGAAGAATCTGAAGTTTTTACCAGGATGAGGGAAACAGAGTTGACTTACTCTGAAGAGTGAGGGAAGTGATATGGAGAAAATTTTACAGAGATTTTAGGCCAACAGTGATACCTTTAGGAATTTCCAAGGGTACCTGGAGCTCATAATTATTGAGACTTCTGAAGGGTTTCACAGTGGTCATGAGCTACTTCTCAGTTTCTCCCATTTTCAGCTTAGGATTCAACTTTCTTAGGTTACTAAGTCAGTTAAGAATCATCTTTCAGGTTTTCATTTTACCAAATGCTATTTCCTTTCTTATTCCTGGTGGGCTTTTGTCTTTAAACAACTCGAAGTTAGTGGATTTGGGGGTAGGGAAAATTTTGTATATTTTTAAGCTATCGTCTTATCTCAAAACTGGTTAATACTTTCCTTAGCAATTTCCTCAAAAGGAGTATATATGGTAAAATAGTTCTGAATCCTTATTTAAATGAAAACAGCTTTGTTTATATTGATGAAGATATCTTAGCTGGGTATACTACTCTTGAGTCAAATTCTTTCCTATGTAGCAGATACTCTTCTAAGATTCTAACTTCCAGTTTACAGAGTATCTACATGACCTGACTGTACATTCCTTGCATCTTCTTTCTTTTCTTCTAGAAGCTTTAAAAAAGTGTTTGTTTTTTATATGCCTAGTGGAGTTATTTTTTAAATTAACCCTGTCTGAATGTCAGTCTTTCCAGTAATACCTTAAGGCTTTCTTAAGAACAGTGAGGGAAAAAAATCTCCTCTATTGTTTCTTTAAAAATTATCCTTCCTTATTTCCATTTTTCTTTTCATGAAACTCCTGGTATGCATTTATATGTAAAATCTTCTGGATCTTCCCTCCATATCTCTTATCATTTTCTACATGATTTCATTCTCTTTACCTTTTTGCTACATATTTTGAGATACTTCTATTTATTCCTTTGAGTCCCTAATTTGGATCTTAGTAGTGACCATCCTACCTTCTACTTTGACTGCTGAATTGTTTTATTTTGAAAAATCACAGTTTTTTAGTTCATTAAGTCTTTCTCCTCTAATTCTCTCTCTCTCTCTCTCTCTCTCTATATATATATATATACACACAAAATGTATATATATACACACATATATGTAATGTGTATGTATAAATATATATATATTTTTTCTTTTTTTTGAAGCAGAGTCTCACTCTGTTGCCCAGGCTGGAGTGCAGTGGTGTGATCTTGGCTCACTGCAACCTCTGCCTCCTGGGTTCAAGCAATTCTCTTGCCTCAATCTCCCGAGTAGCTGGGATTACAGGCATGTACCACCATACCTGGCTAATTTTTGTATTTTTAGTAGAGACGGGATTTCACCATGTTGGCCAGGCTGGTCTCGAACTCCTGACCTCAAATGATCCACCTGCCTTGGCCTCCCAAAGTGCTGGGATTACAGGCATGAATCACTGCACCCAGCCTAATTCAATATTTTTAAGTGTTCTTCCTATTTTTCAGTAAGCATAGTCATCTGCCTCCTATACCAGTAGCTATAAAACTGAGCACCACCTATCCTCAGTGAGTCTTCTAGGTCTTCCTCCCTAGATGAATAATCCTTTTCATTTTTATACCAGGGACTCTGCTCAATATGCAGGCCAAAAAGTTAGGCAGTGGTTTACTGGTAAATGCTTAACAAACAACTGGAGTGTGGGGGAAGGAAAAAAGCCCCAGGGTGCAACCAGTTTCCTTACAGTAAATTTTCTTCATGGCTAATTTCAAACTACCAACTTCAAAGAGGATGGCTTATGAAGATGTGCACACGTGGCTCTCGCAAGCCAGGATGGCAGCCCAGCTCCCATGGAGAGAGTTCCTGGAGAGATATTCCAATAGTCTAAATGTTACCTCATCCTTAAAGCCATTCCAGATTCCCTCAAATGGAACTGGGTTTTTTGTTTTTGTTTTTGCTCTGCTCTGAAGATACTTTGCTCACATCTTTACCAGGCACTTATTTTACCCTGTCCTGTAATGTAGTTGGCGCTTTACATGATTATTTCTCTCATGATGTCAGTTCATTAAGGGTGGGTAAAATATACTACCCATCTTTGATTTTCTTCCAGAGCCTATACCAATTACTTGTTGAGGAATTTAATGATTGAATTCAGTCCAAATATCACAGTGGTACTTTTAAAAGCATAGAAATACTTGACTAAATTCAGTGGAAAAAAAGAGAAGTATACTTAATTATATATTTTTTGTGTTGAATCATATTTTTACCAGGAGATCTGTTACTTCTTAAAAGAAAGAGATAATTCTGATAATTTATTTTGATGGGGCTTGAGGTTGAATTATAGGAAGGTATCAGAGAAATAAGCCCATAATGTTTAATAGAGGCCAAATGAAATTATAGTTCTTAAAATGTCTTCTTCCTCTTTTTCCATTTATTTTTCAGAATCAAGGGAAAATGCTTTTCAACATCCACATCTAAAGAGCTGACAAGAATAATTTCTCATATATCCTATTTTTTAATTTTAGAAGCAATCATTTCAAAGTTTAAGAATCTCTACTAAAACTGTCTTAGTCCACATCCAAATAAATTTGGGATAATAAACATATACAATAGAAAATTTCAATGCAGTCATAAAAATAGGTGTTTGCCTGTGAATAGTGCCTAGGATAGCTGGACAGATGGGAAGCAGATGGGGAACCCCAAAGGGACGAAATGACCTGGCCCCAAACATATGGAGAGGATCCTGGATTAACTGTAGTTACCACTTCCTGCAGTCTCCTGGGCACATATATCAAACAGTCAAAGACAATACAGTTTAATATATCTAAGAGCTGATCTGGGGGAAAAATGGAGAATGAGAAATACAGCAATCTGAAGAAGAAGAATGAGAGACAGTGACCATTCAAGGAAGAACGAACTGACATGAAAATAACATGAGAAAATAAAATAAGACATAGACATTAAGAATGGCAAATATAGAAGAGTAGTTCTTAAGTATAGAGGCAATATAACAACATACAGCATACCCTGATTGGAAATATTTGTGATTTGTGAATTTGAATCCTACCATAACTCAAAGACTTCTCAAACAGGAATTGAAAACCCTTGGTTCAATTCCTGGTATTATTATTTTACTGGTCATTTAGCTGTACTGAATATCTCTGAGCGCTAGTTTCCTCATACGTAAAATGAAGGCTGCAACTAAATAATTGCTAAAAACAATGTATGACAATTTTTAAAATTGTGTTCCTATCTGGTCTAAGCATAAAAAACAAAATTATGGTGTCCAAGCTAATAATTCCTTAACAAAAAAGAAATGTAATATGTTATATGCATCACAGAAAACGGCAATATTTAAGTTTAAGTATATTTCTGAGTTTGAAGGGGATCCCTTGTCTAGAGAATTTGGGACATTCTCTGTTGTTAAATGTACAGCACATAGTAATCAACCCTGATTAGAAAATTTAAATGCCCCATTTTCTTCTCCTCTGGGATATTTTATCGTACTTACATATATAGAGACTCTCTTATAAATGTGTACATGTGTGTGTATATATATAAATACGCACACATGCATATGTTTGTTCTAAAGGTACTCTGTAGTTTTTCCCTGTTTTCTCCTTCTGCCCACCGTTTCCTGTCATATCACCATCACAGAATTAGCCAGGCAGACATAAAAACATGGTAGTCCTAAGTCCAATTCAAAATGTACTACAACTTAATTAAAATTTTAGGAAGGACAAGAAACTAAATGTTAGAATCAAATAGAATGAACTGGTTATCTGGATACATGTGTAAACGATTAAAAATATCCAAAGTAGTGGTTTGGTGCAGTGGCTCATGCCTCTAAACCCAGCACTTTGGGGGACCAATGTGGGCAAATCACGAGGTCAAAAGTTCAAGACCAGCCTGGCCAACACAGTGAAACCCCATCTCTACTAAGAATACACAAATTAGCCGGGCATGGTGGCGGGCACCTGTAATCCCAGCTACTCTTGAGGCTGAGGCAGAAGAACCGCTTGAAAATGGAAGGTGGAGGTTGCAGTGAGCCAAGATTGCACCACTGCACTCCATCCAGCCTGGGCAAAAGAGTGAAACTCTGTCTCAAAAAGAAAAAAAAAAAAAAAATCCTTTCTCATCAATACTATGGGTAAGTTTGGTTTTTTGTTTTGTTTTGTTTTTTTTCATAAATTCAACAAAGACTTAGTATCTATTATGTTTTGTGCTAGGGATAAAATGAAAAGCAATTACCTAAGGGGTACTTAGCCTCAGTAAACCAACAAATATTAAGAATAATCACAAATGTATACAACTACTATCTTGGTTGTATTTTATTTTTTATTTTTTTAAAAACTCAAAAGTTTAGAAAAAACAACCTAGTAAATCATTAGTTTTTGTTTTAAGATCCCAAATTACAGACATTCTTCATTTGCCTTAACACTAATAATAAAACTCTGTAACACTAAAGTTTTAAAAGAATATTCAAATCAGTTATCTCTGTTTGGTCTTATGAAAACTCTGTATTGTAAATTCTGAGTTGAAAAAGGCTTTATAAATGCACTCAGCAACTCAGTGACATCAAGCTAACCTGAATCTATATATAACTCCTAATATGAATGTGTCATTTTATATTAAAACACTTAAATGGAGATAAAGAACACTTAACCTTTATACATCACTAGTTCATTAAAAATGTATATAGAGGCATTCACTTGAATAACATTTCTATTAAGTCTCATCTAAATCTTGTTTATCGCTCAATATCTTATGTTACCTATGTTTTAAATGCTCACTAAAGGGTTTTCTCTATCTCTCACTTGATGAGCAATTTTTCTACTACCCGGAAACACTCACTGACAACTTTGCAGGTTAAATTTCACATTGCACTCATTACTTCATTCAAAACTTCATTTTTCAGAATAAAGATCATCTTCTTAGATTTTCAATAATAGAACTAGAACTTGGTTTTCTGAAATTTTCTGTACTATTTTCATAAATATATCTTTAAAAAATCACTTTAGAAGAGCTCCTTATACACTCACCTCAGTAGAAAACACAAATATGATTTGATTTTCAGAAACCAGAAAATCAGGTAGGCCAATGATCTAGCTGCATGTTTTGCTCCAAAACACTGGACTCATAGAACATTCCACAGAGTTGAATCCTGCACTCCACAAAACTGCAGATTATCACACTCATGAGTTACCTATAAATCTCAAAATTGTGAATGTAAACAGTCTTGGGTGCTCTAAAAATGCCAATTAAGTATAATAAGCATTTTATAATTAAATATAATTTATAATAATAAGCCAAAAAGCCTTAATTTCAAAATAGAATAAAATCATGTATTACAATAAAGTATAAAAATAACTTTAACACACTAAAATATTTTAAAACATACATACCTTTAAAGCCATCAGGATACACGTCAGAGAGAAATTTAGTGCTGATGTCTCCTTTTACAAAGCGTGAGTTGATTATCACCTCTCGAAGTAATGCAATATTATGTGCAACACCTAAAAGTAAAATGATATCAAATTGAAGAACAATGAATCAGTGAAAAACTGAATTCTGATAATCTGGAGAAATTTATCATCATTGTTCTATGATCTAGCAGAAACCATTCAAGATTACTTATTTCCTTGACTTCTATTAAAAACAAAAAAAATCTGAAATTGTGGTATCAACAAAACACTAAATATAAACTTAAGAAGCCTCGTATTGCCAAGTCAAGTCAAATCAATGGGCTGCAAAAGTAATTGTGGCTTTGGGCCATGCAAAAGTAATTGTGGCTTTGGGCCGTGAATTTTAATCATTAAAACGAGGCTCAAACACATCCTTATTAATCAAAAAAGGAACCATTACATAAACTCATTTTTGTCAATGAGAAATAAGTTTGTTTATTCCTGCAGTGTAAAAATCCATGCTTCGGGATTCCACGAACTCTTAGAGAGCATTTTTCACACCCTGCCGGTTGTGGAAGTGTTTTCCCTGCAAAAAGTTGTTGAGATGCTTGGAGTGGTGGTCAGTTGGCAAGAGGGCAAGTGAATATGGCAGATGAGGCAAAACTTCAAAGCCCAATTTATTCAACTTTTAAGTGTTGGTTGTGTGACATGTGGTTAGGTGTTGTTGTGGCAAAGAATTGGGCCCTTTCTCTTGACCAATGCCAACTGCAGGCATTATGGTTTTTGGTGTATCTCGTTGATTTGCTGAACATACTTCTCATATGTAATGGTTTCGCCAAGATTCAGAAAGCTGTAGTGGATCAGGCCAGCAGCAGACCACCAAACAGCGACTGTGACCTTTTTTTGGTGCAAGTTTGGCTTTGGGAAGTGCTTTGGCACTTCTTCTTGGTCCAGTCATTGAGGTGATCATTGCTGATTGTTGAATAAAATCCACTTTTTATCGCACGTCACAATCCAAGGAATGGGTCATTGTTGTTGTGTAGAATAAGAGAAGACAACACTTCAAAATGATGATTTTTTTTTTTTTAATTTACAGTCAGCTCATAAGGCACCCAGTTATGGAGCCTTCCAATTTGCTTCAAATGCCAAACAACCATAGAATGGTCGACGTTGAGTTCTTTGGCAACTTCTCATGTAGTTATGAAAAGATCAGCTTCAATGATTGCTTGCAATTGGTCATTGTCAACTTCTGATGGCCAGCCACTAAGCTCCTCATCTTCAAGGTTCTCATCTCCTCTGCAAAACTTCTTGAACCATCACTGCACTGTACATTCCTTAGCAGTTCTTGGGCCAAATGCATTGTTGATGCTGCAAGTTGTCTCTGCTGCTTTACAACCCATTTTGAACTCAAGTAAGAAAACTGCTCAAATTTGCGTTTTGTCTAACATCATTTCCATACTCTAAAATAAATATAAAATAAACTGCAAGTAATGTCATTAGCAAAAAAACAAAGCAATAAATGGTGCACTGAAATGATGTATAACATAACCACATTTATTTAATAATGTATACCAATATCAAATGGCAAGTTTCAGCAATGCAAAAACCGGAATTATGTTTGCACCAACCTAATAAATGTCCTTTCAATAAATTGCACTAGAACAACTAGCTAACCATTTGGGCAAAAAAAAAAAAAAAAAATTAACCTCAAACCTAACAATATAAACAAAAAGTTAACTCCAAATGGATCACAAACCTAAAACTATTTTAATAACTATAGAAGAAAATAAAGAGGAAAAATCTGTTACCTTGACGTGGGCAGCAGATTCTTATTCCTAGTACAAAAAAACCATGAACTACAAAAATATTGACAAACTGTACTTCATCAAAATTTGTCTGCTCCTCAAAAGATGCAATTAAAAAATTAAATGGCAAAGTACAAACTGAGACAAAATATTCATGTTAAATATTGCTATTATTATTATTTGAAACAGGGTCTCACTCTACTGCCCAGGTCAGAGTGCAGTGATGCAACGTTGATTCACTGAAGCCTCATCATTCCAGGCTCAGCGATCCTCCTGCCTCAGCCTCCCAAGTAGCTGGACCACAGGCACATACCACTATGCCCAGCTAATTTTCATATTTTTTGTAGAGACACATTTTTGCTGGTCCCCAGACTTGTCTCAAACTCCTGGCTCAAGTGATCCACTCACCTTGGCCTCCCAAAGTACTAGGACTACAGGCATAAGCCACCATGTCTGGCCCACATTACATATATCGGACAAGGAAGTTGAATCTAGAAATATGTAAAGAACACTTACAACAAAATAAAAAAAAAAAAAAAAAAAAAAGTTAAAAAAAAAAAAAAAAACACAGTCAAAATGTCCACTAAGCATAGGAAAAATGGTTCAATGTCATTATTGTTAAAGAAATACAACAAGATGTCCCCAGTGAACCAATTTACATGGCCGAAGTGAAAAGTCAGGACATGGAACAAGAAGAATTTTATATTGCTTTGGTGGCAATATAAAATGATACACACACTATGGAACAGTTTGGCAGTTTCTGGAAAAGTTAAACATATACTCACTGATTCAGACAACTCACTCCTACGTATTAAGTCAAGTTAAATAAAAACATATGTCTATACAAATACTTATACACAAAGGTTAATAACAGTTTTATTTACTATAATCAAAACCTGGAAACAATTTAAATCTCCACCAACAGGGAAATGCATTAACAAAATCAGGCTTGTCCATACAATGGAATTTTATGTCACATACACACACAGAGTCAATAACACGAAATAACAAGGATGGACCTAAAAATGATTATGCTGAGTTAAAGAAGCATGACCAAAAATAATGCATAATAATGGATATGTCCATTAATATGAAATTTTAGGAAATGCAAACCAGTCTGCAGTGACAGAAAGAAGATCATGTGGTTACATTGGGAAAGGGGTAGAGGGAGGGAAAATGGCAAAGACCGTAATGAAACTCTGGAGGTGAAAGAAGCATTCAATACCCTGGCTGTGGTAACAGATTCACAGGTGTATACGTATGTCAAAACTCATAAAATGGAATACTTTAGATATCAGAAGTTTATTTTATGTCAAGTATACCTCAATAAGTCATTTTTTTAAAGATGCATGTAATCTAGTAGAAAAAAACTGAGCCAAGTACACAATGAGAATTTCAAAGTACAGGTGATGACTGAATAACATGAGGGTTGGGGTGCCAACCTCCTACAAAGACAAAATCCACATAGAACTTTTGATGTCCCAAAGAAGTAAATACTAATAACATACAGTTGACTGAAACCCTTGCTGAAAACATAGTCAGTTACACATGTTTTGTATGTTATATGTATTAAGTACTATATTCTTTCAATAAAGCTAATGTTATTACGCAAATCATAAGAGAAAATGTATTTACTATTCATTAAGTGGAAGTGGATCATCGTAAAGGTCTTCCTCCTCCTCTTCAGGTTGAGTAGGCTGAGAAGGAGGAAGAGGAGGGGCTGGTCTTGCCGTCTCAGGGGTTGCAGAGGCAGGAGAGGTGGAGGAAGTGGAAGGGGAGGCAGGAGAGACAGCACACTCCTTATAACTTTATGAAAATACTTCGTAATTTTTGTCTGCCTTTTTTGCTTTTTCATTTCTCTAAAAACGTTTCAATCTTTTTTCCACAGTTTATGTTACTTTTACTGTCTGTATCACAGAAGGGTCCATGTCGTAAACGAAGTCAAGAGCAGTCTTGAATGATCAGAATCCTTCTGCCACATTGTCTGATGTGATCCTGTTTTCCGGCACTGCTTCTTCTATCAACCTCCGGTACCACTTCCTCAACCTCTGGCACCACTTCGGAAGCACTCATCTGCATCACCTTCTGTTAATTCCTCAGGTGTGGTGTCTATTCGCTCTTGAGTTCTCTAAAATCCATACCTTAAAATCCTTCACCCCTTTCCCTCCATCTTTTATGCCATATCCACAGTCTCTTTCATGATTTTCTTGGTTGCCTCTATCATAAATCCTGTGAAGTCATGCACAACATCTAGACAAAGTTTTCTCCACCAAAAATTTGGGGTTTGATGGCCTTCACAGCTTTTTATATGACAAAAATGCATCTTCAGTGGTGTAATCTTTCCAAACTTTTTCTTTTCCAAGTGTCAATGATTCTTTCCATATAGCACTGTGTATAATGAGCCTGAAAAGTCTTTCTAATACCCTGAGCTAGAGGCTGAATTACACATGTTGGGTTTGGGGAGAAGCAGGCCACTTCGACACCTTCAATGTTAAACACATGTGTTCTGGGTGGCTGGGGCATTGTCCATATCAAAAGAACTTTAGAAGACATACTGGCAAGGTATTTCCTGACTTTAGGGACAAAGTATCAATGGAATCAGTCCAGAAAAAGGGCTCTCGCTCTCCAGGCCTTCTTGTTGTACAACCAGAAGACTGGCAAACAGTGCTTGATGTTTTCCTTCAAGGTTTGGAGGTTAGCAGCTTCACAGATAAGTGCAGATCATAAACCTGACTGCATTCCCACAAAACAACAGACAGGGTTAGCCTACTTCTCCCTGTCTTAACTCCTGATGTTTGCTTCTCTTCCTCACTAAGAAATGTTCCTTATGGCTTTTTAAAATTTTTTTCAGAATAAGGCACTTGTGTGTGCATTAAAAACCTGTTCAGCACATATCCTTTCTCCTCAATGATTTTCTTAATGGTGTCTGGGAACTCATCTGCTGCCTCTTGGTTGGCAGAAGTACCTTCCCTTCACATTTTATCTTCACATTTTAAAGCCAAATCTCTTTCTAAAATTATCAAACCATCCTTGGTTGGCAATACATTCTCCAGCTTTATATCCTTCCACTTTCCTTTTGCTTTAAGTTGTCATATAATGATTTCATTTTTCCCATAGACAGGCATATTCAAGTCTATGAGAATGCCTTTCTTACAGCAATCCTGCACCCACATAAAAGCCGCATCTTCTATATGAGATGAAGGGCATTTCACAAAAAGTGCAAGGTTTTCACGCCTGCTGGTGTAGCAGCAGCAACTTTATGGATTTCGTTTTATTTTCTTTTACAATTGTCCTTACAATGGATTC